ATTTAGCTATTTCCTTATAGAATAGCTAAATATAGCCTAGTTTAGGGACTAGTAGGAGTAAATCTAGTAAATTCTTATCTTCTACTATATCTATTTCTTTTAACTAATTACTAAGTTTTATAGGTAACTAGTATATACTATAATAGTTAAGTTACTTATAGTGACTACTAGTTAGGTAAATAGTACTCTTAATATACTATATAGCTTATAAATTCCTAGAGTCGCTATATAGGCTACTTATAAAGCTATACTATAGATACTTACTAGTTTAAATACCTTTATATCTAAGATACTAGCTAATCGCTATTAGAAATACCCTCTAAATACTAATCTCTTAGAGTTACTATATACCTATATTAATAGAGAAACTAGAATCTAGCTTACTATTATCGAAGCGATTAAATTATAAGTTCTACCACTAGTAATTACTAGTAATTACTAGTAATTACTAATAATAGTAGTATATAACTATATAATAAGTAGTCTTTAAAAGATATTTAGTACTTTATAAAAACCGGTATATAGCCTATATCTATATTATCTATACTAGGATCCTATTTAAAATACCGATCTTAGGCTATAGGTATATATAACTACTTATAAAGATTAGTTATTATAAGTTACTAACTATTACTAGTAGAGATTAATAGTAATAAGCCTACTATAGACTCTCCTATACTTATAGGTTAAAATATAAAGAAGAGAAAGAGTAAGTATAATAAAATCCCTACTACTAGTTAATACTAGTCACTAGTAATCCTTACTAACTATTACTAGCTTACTCTAATAACTAGTCACTATCTCTAGCCCTATAAGATCTATTAACTCCTACTCTAGTTAAGAAATCGGTAAAGGGAAAGAGATAAGCTAGTACTAATACTACTAGAGGTTTATAATTATTACCACTTATTCCTTCTAGCTACTAACTATCCCTAGGCTCTACTAGTATAGTTTATAAACCTTAACTAGCTACTAAGGTAGAACTAGGTACTAGTAATAACCTACTAGTAGTAACTAATAATAAGTAGGTATAGGATAGAGTTTCCTTAAGTGATTAGTTTATATAGTAAACCCTAGATTTCTAAGCTAGGATAATAACCTAGATAAAGAGTGTAGAAGAGAGATTAGAAAAGAGGGGATAGGAAATAGAAATAATAGTATATCTAGGAATTTTAAGTGATTTACTATAGTTTCCTATTACTCCCTTATATTACTAGTAATTTAAGGTAAATTATATTATTAAAGAGATATATACTAAAATAGAGTATTCCTTATAGTATTTATTAGCCACTATTAGTTCTAAGGACCCTAAGTGAAAGAGATAAATTTAGGGATATTATTAAAGAGATATACACTAAAATAGAGTGTTTCTTATAGTATTTATTAGCTACTATTAGTTCTAAGGACCCTAAGTGAAAGAGATAAATTTAGGGATATTATTAAAGAGATATACACTAAAATAGAGTGTTTCTTATAGTATTTATTAGCTACTATTAGTTCTAAGGACCCTAAGTGAAAGAGATAAATTTAGGGATATTATTAAAGAGATATATACTAAAATAGAATATTTCTTATAGTATTTATTAGCTACTAATAACTACCACTAGCTCCTAGAACCCTAAGTAAAAGAGATGAATTTAGAGATATTATTAAAGGGATATTATTAAAATCTAGAGCCTTGATTACTATAGTATATATCGCTTAATATAACGCTATAATAATAATTTTAGTACTTATACTATACCTATTACTATAAGATATTTTTTAATCTTACTACCTTCTATCCTATTACTCCTAGTAGTCACTAATTACTATCTTTATAGCTTAGTACCTAAAAGGACACTAGTAGTAGAGTAATTATATAGGTAGATACCTAGATAAATAGATATAAGTTTAGACTTTATTAGTAGTATCTACTTATAACTAATAATATTTAGTAAAAAGGTTCGAATCTATAATTATATAAGATATAGGAAGAGTTAATAGCTAATTCGATATACTATTATTATAAGTTACCACTCCCTATATTATAACTAATTATCACTAACTACTTATTAAGACTATTCTAGCCTATTATTTATTATACCTATACTATAGCTATATCCCTAAGGGGAAAGGTAAAGCTACTAGTATTTATAAGTATATTAGATATAAGTATACTATAAGTTATAACTATATATTACTAGCTATTACTAGCTATTACTAACTATTTTTATAGACAAAAAATATAGCGTAGTATAAGAACCTTAAGGTAGCTATAGGAGTCTCTAGTAGTGGTTAAGAGTATATTTTATTCCTTAATATTCCTATTTACTACTAGTTATAACTAATATTATTACTAATTAGGTCTAATAGATTAGCTTATACTACTAATAACGAGGATAGTGATACTAGATCTACTAGCGATAATAGCGATAGCGATAGTAATAGCGATAGTGGTAGCGATAGTAGTAGTAATAGTGGTACTAGTCCTAGCCCTACTACTATAGCTACTACTAAGGCTAAGTTTACTAAGACTAGAGCTACTAGGACTAAGGCTACTAAGGCTAAAGTAGCTAAAGCTACTACCGCTAGTAAAGACCCTACTAATAAGGGTAATAAAGGGAAGGGTAAAGCCCCTACTACTAGTAATAACAATAATAGTGACAATAATAGTGATAATAATAGTAACAATAGTAGTAATAATAATAATATATAAGTTAGTAGTTATAGATAGGAATAACTAGTAATAACTAGGTATTACTCTTTATATTTTTTATAAAGCTTATAGTAATTAATTAACTTTTTTAATTATATAATATATAATACTCGTTTTTTACTAGTAAATTATACTAGACTATAGACTACTAGTTACTACTAGTAATTACTACTAATAAATATAACCCCTTCCCTTAATTTATTAGTAGGAACTTTCTAGAAGCTCTTAGTAATATTTAAGTTATACTATATTTTAAATATAGTGTCCTAACTAGTAATTATTAGTAATAATAAATTATCTATATTAACCTCCTATATATTATTCCTATATTATATAGAACCTACTAGATAATAACTTCTATCGAGATATTACTAGTAATTACTAAAAATTAAATACTAATTATATATTAAATTTACCCTAAAATTTTTAGTTACTACTAGTTATATCTAGTAGCTATTAGAAAACCCCCTATATAATACGTATTAATATATTAAGACTATTAGGTAAGTGATAAAATATATAAAAGTTATTGTTAGGCACTTTTTACTAGTAGCTCCTAGTCTACTAGTAAATACTTCACTCTTTCTAGTAGACTTAACCTAATAACCTAACAGCTTTTAGGGCTATAATTTATTTTATTAAACCTATATTAGTCGCGACTAGTAGCTCCGACCTCCTACCAGTAGCAACTAGCCTACTAGGAGCTACTAGTATGAAAAACCCACCTGACAACCTGACAACCTGACAACCTGACAACCCCCCTATTCCTCGCACTTGCTCCCCACTCGACTAGCAACCCTAAGTCTTAGAATATCATAGGTGATACTTGAGGCTGAGGTGCCACTATTAAAAATATCTTGACCTCTAGACATATCACATCACTACGAGTTATTGGCTTTGGCTTGCGAGTGAACCTGTTCCGGTGGAGGCCACTGGGTGGATCTTCTGAAGAATCTACAATAGTTCAAGCCGGAATTGGGAAAGCTGGGCGTTAAATGAGGCGCCATAAATATGCATTTATCTCCCATAGATTCGTGTATTTCCAATTTTTACGGCGACTCATTCACAGGAAGGGGCTTTTGATAGAAGATGATGTTGAAGACTTAAGTAGTTGGTATCTTGGCATTGTTTGCTTGAGATTTTATAGGTTTGCAGTGTTTGAACTGTTTGCAAAGAAATTAATCCGCGCCAACCATGTCGAGGGTCTGTTTATACGCTGATTATTTTCTCACTCAAATGCCTTGAAAGGATACAACATGTTTCCAAGCTAATATCTACATGACACATACGACCATAGGGTGTGGAAAACAGGGCTTCCCGTCCGCTCAGCCGTACTCAAGCCACACGCCGGTGAGTTAGTAGTTGGGTGGGTGACCACCAGCGAATCCTCACTGTTGTATATCGGTGTTCACCCATTTCTTTTTGATTCGTTAGGAAACCCCCTCTTGCCGCTCTACTCTTCAGCCCATTCAGCCCGTTTACCTAAATGCCCTGAACACCACTATTCTATACCTAAATATCCTATACGCCCCTAAACCGCTAACGTGTCCTTCCCCTCCCGTACTGATTTTTTCTTATATATATATTGTTTTGATCATAACAAGCTACTTCTCGAAACGTATACGTTATATATATACAATTTCTCCTCTTCTTGACTCTTAACTAGCTCCGGTAAGATAAAATACCCTATATAATAAAACACTAACTAGGTACTTATATATTCGAGCGCCGTCACTACCAATCTATATACTTAATATTGCCTAAAACTAGGAGAAACAATAAGTATTAGATTTTTTTATATTGTTACTTATATTTACCTTCGGATATAAGTAACCTATGACTTATTAACTAAATTATAACTCGATAAACCTATTAGGCCAGTACTCCGGTATAGACCCTCTAAGCGCCGAACCTAATATTGTTCCTTGATACCTTTAAAAGGACTTAATTTATAGTAAGGTATATTGGTAATAGTATGGTTAAGAGATAGATTATTAACGTCGGAGGGTAAGGGATTAAGTGGCTAGAATCACTAAGTAGCGTAGAATTAAGAGAGGGGACTCTAATATCTAATTATATTCAAAACCCTAGTTCTCCCTTATCTATCCTCCTCCCTTACGACCCTACTAAGTACGCGTGTATTAATAGCGTAAATAAGGCCTTAGTAGGATATATCCTCCCCCTATACTTATCCCCTTCCTTCCTATCTATACTTTCCTTATTACCTAGGTTAGGAATCCTAAAGCTCCGAACTAGAGCCCTCCTAATATCAAAATCACGTAATAACGGTTTATATATCACGTTACTTAAGAGTAGGTCCTACTCCGTTAAGGTTATCTAGTGGGGCGAGCGTAGCGGAAGCTAAGTAGTCCGATACAGAGTCGGGCTAAGATACTCCTCGAATAAGCTTCGAGCTATACCTTCTAGACCTACCCTTACTTCTAGAGCTAGTGTAGGAGAACCCGATAGTATATTATATACCTAAGATAATAAAAGAGATAGAGGAGATAAAGGAGGTAACTTATCACCTTATTAATATACCGAATGATCGGTTATCGGTGGATAAGAGCACAGTAGAGTCGGGCTATTATCGCTTTTGTGTCTCTATTTATACCTTAGCTATAGTATATACAACGGCCTTTTATTATATTCGACTCTATCTAGGCGATTAGAACTCTTGAAGTCTAGCGGGAGCTCTAGTAATAGTTACTAGGGTAGTATCGATAACCTAAGCCTATATTAATAGGGGAGGCGCGGTGTTACCTCTTCTTCGCGTAGGAATTGTGTAAGTATAAGCTCTTTATTAGTAAGGATAAATCCGAAATAAGTACTAAGTATATAGGTATAGTGCTATACCTAGGCGAGGTATATATAGTGGTATAAATATATACCGTTAATAACGGCTTTAGTATACTTAATTTTCTCTTCCTACTAGCGGACTAGTTTTATATCGCTAACCGTAATAATCTTACCTTTACTAACAAGCTCGTTAAGTGTTAGAATATTGATATTATATAGTGTATAGGTACCTTCTACAATAACCTAGTCCGGTAAGATAGTGGTCTCTATACTATTATCACAAAAACTATCGAAAGAACCTAGGTACACTACAATAGTTACGTAGGGATCTTCCGATAAGATTACGTTTTGTAAAGTAATATTTATATAGGTAATTAACGTATTATAGTAGAAACTTTCTAGCTATCTCTTATTGTAGATAATATAAGCGAGGTCTAGTAGCTAGGCCTACTACCGAGTTATAAACTATTTATCTAAAAAGGCGCGTATCCTAGGACTCAAAATATTAGACGATTGAAATACTTACCACAATTCGCTTTGGCTAACCTTATCGTACCGGCTATTAATACTAGAGGAGGATATTGTGGTTATAAGTGTGTGGTAAAGTTTGTCGGTATCTAGCCTATACCACGGCTCGAGGAAATTGTCGATTATTAAGAATATAGTGGATTTCTTATAAAATAATAGTAGGAAAGCGGACTAGATAGATTAAAACTCCTTATTTTATTTATACTTTAGTATGATTAGGCACCCACGCGCCTAACACTGCCCAATACTACCCTTGTTCTTTTAGCGCTATATTATCTAGCCTGTGTGATGTTGTTACTAGCAACAAAGTGTACAGTGACTGGACATAAGTTTTTAACACGTTAGGCCCCACACCCCCCTGATTATATAATATACTGCCGGTCTAAAACCTCTATAAATTCATACTATAAAATCTAGTATGGTGTATACCACCCCTAGCTCTCAATGATAGCCTCCACCCAGTGCGGCATTATCTTAGAGAGATGCTCTAGGTACCTTAGCTCTAATTCATCCTATGCCTACTACGCTGTTACCACTAGTATCTCCTTTGTTGTGTTATTGTTCTGTATATATAGGAGATTAGGCCGAAGCTTGTATATCTTAGCTTTTAATAACGCCTAGAGGTTTTCAATTGGATTCAAATCAGGTGAGTGAGGAGGCTATTCTATAACTTTAATCTCTATCTTAGCTAATATATCCCGTACAATATACGTAGTATATATCGGAGTATTATTATACTAAAAAATACTATCTAGATTTGCAAGTAAGATAGGTAGAACCCGGCGGTATAACTCCTTAATCACTAGGCTAGTGATACTAGTACGCTTAGCCTTAGGATTCCCAAAGAGTGGTATAAGCCCTATATACCGTGTAGCGCTAGAAAATATAGCCCAAAATATCTACTTCACTTGCTTTCCTCGGTGTGGTAATCCTTAATATTGTCCCTCCTTTGGTTAGTCTTTTAGACGGATAAAGGTCCACTCTCGACGTATACTAATCCCACACTTAATAGTACACTTATTAGACCAAAAAACATAGGCCCAATCTTTAGGTGTAAAGTGCCGATAGTGTAGGGCCCAGCGAAGGCGTTTAACCGCGTGTTCTTCCTTTAAAAAGGGCCGCTAGCTATATCGCTATTTATGGAGGTTCTCTGTATTTAAAAGACGTTATATAGAGCGGTATTTGACCTTATGATTAACCTTAGTAAGGAGGTCTTCGGCTATAATCTTTGGGTTTCTATGGATAGCGTTCAAGATCTGGTCTTTATTAGCTTTAGTAAGCTTTTTTGGCCTTCTAGATCGCGGTTTTGATATGCCTACTCGGCGCTCGCTCTCCTTTTTCACAGTGTACTGGATTGTAGAGATTGGAATATAAGGATAGCGGTTATGAATACGTCTATACCCCTATCCTATAGTATATAGCTCATATATACGCTTATATATAGTAGGCGTAAGCTCTTTTGAACGCGCCATAGGTGGAATAGTATAGAGGGTAGAGAGGAGAGATACTAAAGAGAGAGATAAATATAGGTAATTAGATCTCCTTTTTGAAAAGTAGCTTCACGTACTATTTTAGCGTGGTTTTCATATACACGTTTTAGGTAGGCGGTATATCCCTACACTAGCGGTGAGCTATGTGGGGCTATAGGTGTGTTAAAAACATATGTCCACTGACTATATCTGTGATCCCAAGCGGTTTGTAGGGTTTACATACCGCTTGGTACCTGAGGCAGAGACAAAGCAGTCTGCCAAGCCGGAGCCTAGCACTTCGGCCACCGAAGACAGGGCTTAGTGGCCCTATATAATAGATTTATACTAGAAAAGCAAGCGAGGTACGGTTTATATAATTACTTAGTATACCTAACTAACTCCTATAGCTAGTACTATCCAATAGAAACCATGCGATCCTTATAGAATCTCATATCAAAGAGTGATAGGTCACCTAATATCACCTAATCTAAACCTAGTAACCAGTATATAAACAAAAACACTATATATATTCTCCTTTTACAACAAATCTACTATTAATATCCGATATCCACTAACTCTATATTGTCCGTCTCTTATTTTATTAACAAATTAACAATACTAAGCCCTCTATTATAGATCCTATAGTAGTTATACCTATCTAAATAAAAGGAAAACTTATCACAGCGATAGAAGCGGGATCGCCACCGCTATAAATTAGCCATAGGGCGTCGTGCTATATTAACGGGAGCTATTATAAAGGCCCCTATTTATAAGTCTAAGGTTAGCTAAACAGTAGTATAGGCTAGAAAGGGAAATCCTAAGTATCTACTAATTTATATAGTCTATTCGCCCTTACCCTAATCTACTAGTTATATATCCTTACCTTTAACTCTACCTCTAGTATCCCCTAGATAATCTTACTTCCTATAAGCGCGAACTTTCTATTATAACTACTATCTCTAGGATCCCTGCCCTTATCGATTATACTCCGCGGATTGTTAAAGCGGATCCTAGCTCTGGTATTATTATACTTAGCACCCTAAAGCTCTACTAGAACCTATTTTTGCACTCTCTAGAAGCTAAAAAGTTTGGTCTCGATAAGTTACTCGAACTAAAATAGAAGCTTCGCTCCTACGTCGAGTTATTATATAGCTATAGCGTGGTATACCGCGTTAAATATAACTTCGTGTTTCCTACGCGGACAATATCAGGCCGCTAGGTACTATATCTAGGTAGCTAGATAGATACCGATTTTTGTCCTAACCCAAGTTATTTGGAGTTAACTAAGTAGAGGGTGCGGGAAGTAAAATAGTTAGATAAAATAGAATATCTATTCGAACTACTAGTTAGGCGCTACAAGGATATATAGGATAAGCGGAAAGGCTAGCTAGGCTATAGATATAACAAATAGACACTAAAAGAATAGCTAAAGCCTTAGACCTAGAATAATTACTAGCTTTTCGGTACTACTTAGTGTTTAGGAGCGTAGAATAGGAAGGGAAGGAATTGAGTATTAACTAGGGAAACTATCACAAAAGTCTTATTATTTAATTAGAATAAATTCGTCTTTATCGTTATCTACTATATAGCCCTTCTTCGGGGTCGCCGCTTAGGGCATTTTCTCTTATTTAGCCTTACTATAGCTTTACGACTATTCTAGGTCGGAAATTTAAGGCTATTATCGATAATCTTTTAGGAAGTTTGAAAAGTATATATTTAACCTTAAGAGACCGGAATAATAATTAATCGAAAAGAAACAAGTTAATAGTTATAGATAGCGGTAACAAATCATCCTATTAGGGTATCCGCGTATCCTAAATATTTATTTACTCTAAGCTAATCTCTAGTAAAGTTTCCGATAGGTTTATACAGTTATAAAAGGTAACTTAGCCCTAGATTCTCGAAGCGGTTTATTGTCTTATAAAGCCTTAATAACAAAGTTATCTACTATATCTTGTTAAAATTCCGAAGAGACACTTCCGAATAGATCGGTATATTCTAGATATTCGTAACGATATTATCGATTTAGGTATTAGAAGGGAATAGTGGGCGTAAGGTAAAGGTACCGGTGCGGTCGAATTTTCTCTATAGTATAGTTAACTAAGACTATCTAGATAAAGAACGCCCTAAAGGCACTAATATACTACTAATGTTTAGAGTCGTTTGTTTTCTAGAATATACGTCGAATCAATAGGTTCGGATTACCTAGGCCGGCCTAGTTAGTAGATAGAGAAATTTAGTCCTAATTTAAATTTCTTAGTAAGTATAGTTACTATAGCGAGGTTATTATCTCGATTATATCACTTATAAGACCTATAAGTTCTTCTAATATAGAAAGAATAGGCTTACCTCTCTTATTCTCTATCTGTTCTGCGGAACACGCTTCTATATACTCTAAGTTTTAGGGATTAGATATTATATAGTCACCTACTAATAGACCTTATAGTAAATAAATAGGTATACCTTCCCTATCTAGGTACTTAAATCTCCTATTAGGAGTAGGCTCTATAAGAGAATAAATTGAGCTACGTTAACTAGAGAATCCGATATCTAACGAGGTACTTATAGTTAAGGCTTGCTTGATTATAATAGTCTCTGATTTAATTGTTAGTTTTGAGTAGGTATTAATAGAAAAGTGGCTTAGTCTATTTATTTATATAGTCGCTTTTATTTAGTCGTTTATTCTAAAGGGCTACCTAGGATCTTTGTATAGAGGCTCGCTCTAAAGCTCGCTCTAATAGGCTACCTAGCTTAGAATTACTTTACTATAGTGGCCCTTCTAATAGAAATACCTTAAGAAGCTACTATATTGATCTAGTAAGAATACTCGAAGTCGAATTATTACGATAAAGACTTCTCTTTGTCACTCTCTTATAAATTTCCGAGTAGTCTTAGGAGAAAATAAGGATAGAAGAAGGTCCCTAATAGTGAGTAGTAACTTAACGCAAGATAGATATTTAAGTTTCACTTAAACAAAGTCTAGTCCGCTAGCTCTATCCTATACGCTAATTTACCTAAATTGGATATTAATCTTACTAAAGATCTATATATACTTGTATTTATACTCTTCGAGCTTATATTACCGCTATAGTAATAGCTATACTGATTTTAGTGAAGCTATATACCCCTATAATATTTATTTACCTATATTACTTTTACTCTATTAAGTCCGAGTCGCCCTATATTTTAGGATAATAGTAGTTAGTATTTGTAGGATAGACACTATTATTCTATCGATATATAAGAGGGAACACTATATTAGTAGGAGTATCTAAGCTAGTAATCCTAATATTGGGAGCTATAGTATAACTAATAGTAGGACTACTCTAAGAATAGTCTACGGGGTAAGGCTACTCTTAATAACCTTAGACTTAGGAGACTCTCTATAATTATATATAGCACACTTTTACTAGGTTAATTCACACAAAGACTAGAGACCCTAGTAAAAGTCGGCGGAGGATAGGAGTTATTAGGAGCCTAGTATAGTATAGTAAGGCTAATATAAGTCTCAAAAAATCTCCTTGGTAGCTTATAGCGCTATAAATTAGGAAGCCGGCGGTGCAAAATAGATATAGGAGTGGGCGGTAGTCTAGCTACACTTAGACTAGCTCTATTAGGCTATCGAAATAGGATAGCCTCGAGGTATAAGTTATCTTAAGGGCTAAAGAGCCTAGAAGTATACTTAAGGATTTCTATTAGTTTAAGTAAATCCACTTAATTATAGCTACTTATACACTACGAACACACTAGAGTCTAATTATCTTCCGGAGTTAACTCTATCACTATTAGTTCTTAGGAATATAAGGGGCCTCCTTCCCCCTAGCTAGCGGCGTTCCCTGATTTTCCCTTTTCTTCCTATCCGATTAGGTTATATCGGCTTTCCTCCCCTAGTGGTAACTAGCAGTATAATAGCTAGTTATTCCAATATAATTATAATAGCCGATAATAAGAGATTACCGAGCCCCGAGCTAGGTACCTCGCGACCTTAAAGGGGCCCTTAGCGCGATTATAGTTACTCTAGTTTCGAGTGTATAGTCTTTAGTGATAATTCGGCTAATATAATACTATTACGTAAACGTAAAAGAACCGAAATAGAGGAGTCCTCTACTCTTATATAAGCTACTATTAATACCTTATTCCTCTATAGCCCGAAAAGCGCTTAACTATAATATTCAACACTTACGATAAACTAATATAAAACTTCGAGAGGATATTCTCTTAAAGAGGAATAGGCACCAAAAGATATAAGAGGAACTTTTATAGCTAAAAGAATTGGACTATAAGATCTACTATATATAGCTAGACCGTTAGGTGACTTTACTATATAGGTATATATTTTGTAAGTTATACGCAGAAAACCTTTTAACTCTGATAGAGATCACGTGACCTATAAGTTACTCCTAGTATATCATAGTCTCTATACCTTATAGTAGGGGACCTTATCTTCTACTATATATTAACCTTACCTATCCTATTATTTACTAACTAGTTAAGTGGTTTATATTAGGTAATCTCGGGAAGCTAGGTGCCTAGGTAGAGGTTACTAGTAGTTAGAAGAGATAGATTGAATAAAATATACCTCTATACCTCTCTAAATTAACTTCTTAGGCTATATACCTAGGTTCCTTTATATACAAAATCGAGTATAAGACTAAACTACGAGTGCTAAATCGACCTATATACCTTAGAGTATATAGCCTTAAGTGTTTACCTCTTCACAAAATAGCTCTCTCCTTTCTCCTTATATATTAATATAGTTTTCTATAGTATATAGTGCTTCTTATAAAACCTATATTCTTAGTCTCTAAGCTCTTAGGAGATATCCTATTTATAGGGTACCTAGCACTAGATATATCGAATCCAAACTATTTATAGGATAATATATATCCACTATATTACTAGTCTAGCTTAAGGATATAAGTCTAAGCTATAGAGCTATACCTAACTAATCTTAAGCCTCTACTATTCTATATACAATTACTATAATCCTCTCGAATACTTCTTTAAGTATTAAATTAATAGAATTGATTTTAAGGTACTCTATTAATTGTGATATATAGAATATAATATAATATATATAAACTAGAGGAGTAGATATAAGAAGGGCTACTAGAGCCTTATCTATAATAGAGTTTAGATCCCTTTTATATAGTGGGAAGATTCCCTAATAATTTATAGCCTAGAAAATGAGGTATAATATATATATATTAACGGTATTTTATATATAAGTGGTCCCTACCAAACTATATAGTAAAAACGATAAACTTACCTATCTAAATAACTAATATATTTATTTAGTTTTTTAATTACCGATAGTAATTAATAAGAATTTTAATGTAATATATTAATTTCGGAAGAATCAAGTCTTTATATTCCTATAGTTTCAAAAAATACTAAAAAATACACTATTAAATATATATATCTTAATCACTATATTATTAAATTTCCTAAAACTCTATAAAGTACCTACTTATTATTTAAAAAGTATTAAGATATAAGGAAAAGTTTATATATATAACCGTTACTACAATATTATATTATAATTTATCGCTTTTACTATATATTTTAGCGTGGACCACTCGCTTATAAATACGTTAACTAGCTACCTCACTAATAAACGTAATTATCACCGGGTCTAATAATAAAATTTATATTAGGTATATTTTTCCGAAAGGCGGCCTAACCGGTTTTAAATCTATCTAATATAGTTACGTAGCCCCTCTTGACCCCTCTAAAGTTTTTAGAGTAGCCTTACCTCGCTGACTGTATTTTAATAACTTGATTCTTTTAAGAAGAAAGAAGAAAAGAAAAATATTAATATATCGGACTTTTAACTATTACTACCTTCTCTTTCGGAAGGAAAGCTAAGTCTAACAATAGTATATCGATATTCGGCTACTATTCGATAGCGTTTCTCACGGATAACACTAATATCTATAACCGATCAATCACTTATTTTATTGATATCTACCGATATTAGGTCTAGCGCGAAATAAGCCTAGGAGGAAGTATACCCGATTACCGAACCTTTACTAAAGCTAAGATAGTCAAAAT